GTGTGTGTGTGTGTGTGTGTGTGTGTGTGTGTGTGTGTGTGTGTGTGTGTGTGTGTGTGTGTGTGTGTGTGTGTGTGTGTGTGTGTGCTTGCGTATATAAGTGTCGCGTGCGTGTGCGTGTGTGTACATTGCATGTAGCCATGCGTTAGCTTAAGATAAAGCCGTACCACACACCGCGATACGCGTAATAATCGTCGCTACTGTGTCGTTAATACGCGTCGTTAACATAGATCAACCTCGTACGCACGTCGGCATCGACCCCGGCGTGGAGTCGTATATTCCATTTAATCGCGTCGCAAATGTTTATCAACCATAATGACGCCAATTATTATGAAAATCATTTTTAATGGCTGCGGCGTGCGAGTTTAAATTTAAATTTTGCGAAACGTGGAATTAACAAACATCCTGGGTGATGCAATGACGATGGCGCACGCGCGGCGCGATTAAAAAAATCAAAGATGGCCGCGATCGACGCATATTTGCATAATATACGCGGTGTGGCAGCTGCACGGGTCCATTTGTGATGAGCCGTGACGCTGATCTCGTGACGTGTACATTAATTAGTCACTATAGGCTTAATTCGTCTCACACACACACACGCACGCACGCACGCACGCACATACACACACAGATATACGTCAGCGATCGCGATAAATAAAAAATCGCGGTGATCAATGTTGCGGTGACGTGTTTGCACGTCGTGACGTCACGGCTTAGTCAGACTACCGCACATATCGAGCTGATATTAAGGGAGGGGGAGGGCCAGGGGGCGAGGGGAGGGGGAGGGGGAGGGAGTTGCTCACGTGCCACGCATTACTCACAAGGCGAGTCTTATAATTCGCCGCCTTTATTGATAATCGGCGCGTTGCTGTGACACATGTACGGACGCGCGCGCGCATGTGTAAGTGGGGACACGCGTACATAAGTCTAGGCAGGCCTCACATGTGTACACGGGTACATGTGTATATGGATGTGTGGTGATGGGTGGGGGGGGGCACGCGTACACGGGTATAGGCCTACATGTGTATGTGGATAGGCTGTTATCGGCAATAATAGGCGAAATGGTGCAGAGAATCTTTGTGGTAGTAAATACATTTCGTGTTTATTTACCATCATTTTACTATTGAAACGTACCAAGATGCATGGCCAACGCTCCATTAGGAGTGTTCCCAACTTTGATATCATTAATGATTAATGATTAATGATTAATGATTAATGATTAATGATTAATGATTAATGATTAATGATTAATGAATAATGATTAATGATTGATAATCGTAACCCTAACCCTAACCCTAACCTAACCTATAACATAACTTTAATCATTAATCCTACTCCTACTCCTAATGGAGTATCACCCTTGAGTTTCGAGTTGAGAAGAATGAGTTTTGTCTCGGTCTGTCCTGTCCGAATCATCCCGCTTGCACCCCCCAACCCTCTCATCTGCGGGAGAAGCGAGACAAAGGCAGTGCGCTCTCGCACATCCATCCATTTACTACGCGTTCTTTGTGCGCAGAAACGTCAGACAAAGAACTTCTGATGGGTGACACTGTTACTGCTGCTGCTGCTACTGGCGCTGCTACTGCCGCTGCTGCTACTGCCGCTTCTGCTGCTATTGCTGCTGCTGCTGCTGCTGCTGCCGCTTCTGCTGCTATTGCTGCTGCTGCTGCTGTTGCTGCTACTGTTGCTGATGCTGCTATTGCTGCTGCTGCTGCTGTTGCTGATGCTGCTATTGCTGCTGCTGCTGCTGTTGCTGATGCTGCTATTGCTGCTGATGCTGATGCTGATGCTGCCACTATTGCTTGTCCTTGTACTCGTCCTCTTCCTCTTCATCCTCATCGCCCCCCCCCACAATCCTCATCTCTTTCTTACCCATCTCTCTCTCTCTCTCGTTTTATCTATCCGCCTTTCTGTCTGTCTATCTGTCTGTGTCTGGCTCTCTCTCTGCTATGTGTTGTGAAGTGCGCTGGTTGCTGTTGAGTGAAGGCATTTACCGCACGCGGTTGCTCGCTGCTTAATTATTCCAGCTGCAGTACCATTAGGCGGGCTGTCACGGCCCAATTTCTCACCGACGGATGGCGATGATTTTCGCTGATGGCAATTTCGGAGGTGAAGCCAGTGAGGTTAGGTGTCTGGAGAGTAGGTGAACCGGAGCTAAACTGCAGGCTGGTCCCCTCGCCGAGTGTAGCATACGCACATGAGGAGATACGATCCCTCGTGCAGTCGTGTGTCCACCGTGTAAATCAATCATTCATTGTGTGCGCACGCGGGGGACTCTGGCGTGTTCTTTAATATTTTAATCGCCTTTTTTCGCCTTTAACCGTCTAAAATAATCTCTAAAAAATCTCGAAATTTCTATAATATTTTTCTGTCGTTTCTGCCGTGCTTGCTGCCGTGTCTTCGTATGGACGTTTAATTATGAATCCGTGAAAAAAAGCTACGATGGGAGTTTTTTTGCGATTTTTACCAATCAAACGGGGTTAGGTGTGTCTATATTCAAGCCGGTACGGGAGATTACGGTACGCATTTATTTGCTAATATATTGACTAATCGTGCGTCAATAAACTTAATATTCACGGAGAGTATAGCTAGAATATATTATGCAAATGATCTCCCGTACCGGCTTGAATCTGTGAATATTGAGTTTATTGACCAAGTTTTTTGGCAAATGCCAAATATATGCGCACGGAAGTGAATTACAGATGATTAAATTTCAAAAATTTTAAATACCTATAGACACATGTCTTAGCTATATACTCTCTGTGAATATTGAGTTTATTGACGCACGATTACTCGATTAGTCAATATAATAATTAGCAAATATATGCGTACCGTAATCTCCGGTACCGGCTTGAATATAGACACCCCCTAACGGGTTACGACAAATGGGAATTTTTCCCATGCCGGCGTGGTGAGTTGATAGAGCTACGGCGAATGAGAAATATTTTAATACCGGCGTGCAGGCTTGTAGACGAATGAGAAATCTTTTGAGGTTGGCCTAGCGTGGCGGGTGACCGATGCCGTGGATGCTGCCGGGTTGGGGAGATGTCAGGCGAAGTGCGGCTGGCTTCCTGTGTCGTGCTCCGACATTGCTTGCATTCCTCGCCGCAGGGATGCTGCGGCAGGGATGAGTCAGCTTCAGAGGCCGCGCCGCCGCGCCGCAATCTGTTTATTTGTTGATGTTTGTTTTTGCCCTCCCCCCCCCCCCCGTTCACTGCTTGCTACTACCGTCTACACCCGGCTGGTCATGCTGCTGCCAGCGGCCATCGTGCTTCTCTGTAACTAACAACGAAGCCTCTCGTGGAAGCGAGTCCAGCGTTGAAGGTTCGCGGTCAGGCCCTGAAGTAGCGCGAGCGGCCGCCCACGATCCCCGCGCTACTGAGTGTGCGTGATGAGAGGATGAACTACATAGGCGGGCGGCACCTTATCTCCCGATTGCCGCTCCTCCATGCATCGACCCAGTTGTCGAGATGGGTATTACCACGAGTAAGGGACTATATAACTTAAGCTACGAAGCGATAAAAACTGAAAACAAACCGTCTTGTGTTCTGTCGAATTGAGTAACGACGTTGCGCACGCACTGTGTTTCTAATCGCCTATGTTCGCATGATTCAGTATTAGACCAACTGCGTGCCCCCCTGCCACTTAACCCAAACCGAGCTTGGATGAAGTGCGCAAACACGGGCTATTAAATCTCTGATCATCGCAGTTAGTTTATACACGTGTATGCGGGATATATTATAGCTATTCCCGAGTCGAATTCCTCTCATCCTCATATTGATTGCGAAGTTGAGACGCTCTGAGCAACAGGATGAGCCTATAAAATGTAAAATGGCTAAGAAAACCGCAATGAACTACCACAAAAACCAAGAGAAGCTCTAAAAATGAGATCTGCGCCATATAAAAAAACAGAATTGGGTTTAAAAAAAACAGTAACGCTAGATTCGGGCGTTTCGATGTCGTTAGGACAGATGGTTTACCCGAAGTCCACAGTTTGTTTGTAATCGGAAATCTGTTTGAATGCCTGTGAAAACTCTAAATATAAAACAGAGGGGGAAAATAACTTCACATGTACACCCCCCACCCCGGTCTCTCAGCACTTCCGAGCTTCGTTGGCCCAGCATCGTTAATATTGCTATGCCGATGGCATCTGGACAGCTTCTCGTCTGATCAAGTTTGATGGGTATACTGTAGGCATGTTTGCGTGCTCGCGCAATGGTAGAGGGTCTAAGCTTAACTTTACTCCTCCACCGGCGAAGTATATAGCGCTCAAATTGATTGAAACGTATTTGTCACTGTGTCTACGTTCACTCCATCTCCCTTCTCTGTTTACTGTTGTATGTCTATCTGTCTCCATCGGTCGCGCATCGGCTGATGTATATGTCGCTATCACCCCCTTCCGCCACTCCTGTGAGACTGTAGTTTCTACATGCAGTCCTCTCCCTTCTGATATCCCTTCGAATCTTCGCTAACATTTCCCACGAATCTTTTTCCAGATTAACTCGTATGTGCGCGCGTTTCGTAAGCGATAAATAGAAATAAGTGTCAGAGGGTGGGTTTGGGTTTACCAGAAACGCGCGCGCCTATGCACGTGTACGCGTAAGTTCGTATGCCTGTATGTGTGCGTGCGTGCGTGTGTGCGCGCGTGCTCGAGAGTGCACAGAGGTATTGCACA